AGGTGCCGAGAGAGGCGCTCTTCCCCTTTCTCTCTTTCTCTCCCTCTACGTCTCTCTTCTTCTCCTCTCGTTCGCGGGCAGGCTCGCGACGGACGCGTCGAGCTTTTTCATTACGTTGCGCACTCGTTAAAATTTATCTTCGGCAATGCGGAATTATTTTGCCACCCGCCGCGCTTCCGCCCCGGAAGGAGGAGCAGAAGAAGAAGAAGAAGGAGCAGGAAAAACGGGGCGAATTTTGAGAAATTATCTCGCTTTTGAATCGCGGCGTTTCCCCAACCGGCGTTCCGCGAAACCGCGGCGTTCCCTACGCGCGTTCTCTCCCTCCGAAGAAAAAACTAGAGTTTCCGGTAATTTCGGTTATTCCGATGCAAACGTGCCTCGACTCTGCGCCGAAATGCGAGGAAAAATTGTCTATTCGGAGGTACACAGAGAAAAAGGTTTCTTTAGATTTAGTATTTCTATTTATTTGGCTAAAATTTCTCAGACGGGGACGGGTTCTTTAAACGAATACGGTGGTATCTTATCAACGTTAGTATTCCAAATTTCAGTTTGAGTCGCTACTTTCTGATAAGGTTTGACTAAGATTGATGCCGAGAAACAAAAAAAGGGAAGCAAGAGGGAGGCAAGCCGAGCCGTGCGCGCGGGCAAAAATTTGCCTTTCCCGTGGCTCGCCAATTTCCTCTTTTTGCCACCCCGCTACCTAGTTCCCTCATCGGGTTCTTTCTTCTCCCCTCTGGAACTTAATTCTCCGAAATCCTTTCATCGTCGGTTGCTTATCGACTGAGAATATTACCAATGTCCCAAGACATGAAGGGTGAGCAGCCTTCTCTCGAACATCTGCGAGGAAGACTGTGGGGGAGAAGACGTGCCGTGTAATAGATAAGCTCGTATGAAAAGTGCCAAAGATTGAATCGCGGTCGCGTACATTCCCGGACAGGTGCACAATAAATTCCATCGCACCGGTGAAAACACGAAGGCGAATAAAGTGCCGACCGGCGAAAGAGGCGGGGAAGTGGGGTTAAGCACCTCTTCCTCCAGTCTGTAAATCCCATTCTCGTGAAAACTATGTTAAAAGGTAGAAACGAGTGCGCGGGAGAGGGGAAAGAAGCCCGGGTGGCAGCGGTGGTGCGGTAGTGGTGGAAAGTCGGCGGGGGCAGGGGGGCTGCTGCTAGAAAAGGCGGTTGTATCTTAATGGGGATGTCGACGAGGGGGGCGAAGAGGAGGGGAAGGAGAGGGGGCGCTAAGGGCGAGAGAAAGATACATAGAACATCGAATAGTATCTCAGAGGCGCGCGGGGGAAGAGCGCGCGCGCGCCTCTGAATAATTGAATGCCAGTCAAATTTGCGCAACGAAATTGCTACGGTACGGAAAATCACGAGACATTGGCAATTATCGGCTTTTTCGCCTTTGCTGATCTCTTTGATATTCCAATTTGAGTAGAGATCGCGTGTACGGACCTCTGTAATAGGTTTCAGCCGGGAGGTATCGGAAAATCGCGTTTGCGTGAATTTCCTAATAGAATTTCTTGCCGACGAACTTCAACGCGCGTTGAGAGAGACGCGCACGAGAGAGAGAGAGAGAGAGAGAGAGAGAGATGCGTTTATTATCGTTCCAGCGATATATATTCCTCTAAGAGCATCAAAAATTAAGAATTGATACAGAATAACGTAATGCATGTTTTTCGCCAAGTTAATTCACAAAATTTGATTTGCGTAGAGTGAAAGAATGTGTGATAAAACGGGGACGCTAAGAGGAAGGCTTAATAAAAACGAAATAATCTTAATTGAGATATTTATTAAAACTTTCTATAACATTAATTAAACTCGGACATTAAACTTCAACCGAATTGAGGCAAAAAGATATAAAAAATGGAAAAAATCTCTTTTTCAAAAAGAGTTCGTTGACTTTGGCTGCTGCATTCTGAACAGAACTCTGCTAAGTCGAAGTGCGACACTGTGATAGTTGGAGAAAAAGAGAGATAGAGTATCCGGTGTGTTTTATTACGCGGACATCGAGTAACCCAGCGTTATTATGAGATTAGCAACTATGAGAGGCGGAAACGCTCGCCGTGTTTACGGGCGAGGGAGAGGAGGGGGAGTGAATCGTAAAGCGCCCTGCCCGTCGCGCCGCATTGATCGTCCATGATATTCCGCAAGAAATTGCGCGTGGTCACTGTAATGTCGAATGTACCAATTCGTAACACGGGTATTCGCAACGACGATAATATTCGCAGGATCATGCTAACAATTCCACTCCTCTTCGTCCGGCGCGTATCTGCGCCGGATGTATAACGGCTATTATGCGGCGAGGCCAAGAAATGTAAGAGGAGATCGCGAGGAACGGCGGAGGATGCCGTTAAGTCCCGCGATATTTCATCTCTCACGGCCAGCGGAGCTCTCGTTTCCCGCCGGCTTGTTTACTTAGAGAAATAACCGGTTGCTCTTCGATGGTTGCCGCCCCCGTCTTTCAATTATCGGGGGTCCATCATTGATTTCCCGCTTCCACACGGACAAAGTAAATCTAATCCGGGCGTGTCGCCTGTATCTCAAGTGTTGCGATATCCCGTCGTCGTGCGACGAGGGGAGGGAAGCGCGGAACAAATTCGCCCTGGCGCGAAATTAAATTTCTGCATATCCTAGACGCAGTCGTCCGGTCGAGCGGACTGTTGATCGCCAAGCTATTTCCCCCGCGATTCCCTTGCGCCCACAAGGCGCAATTTTTTCCACTGATGACCTGACCGATATTTCATGGAAAAGCTAGATGTAAATAACCGACACTTCGAACAATTGCTGTAAATAATTCACTCTGATACCGAAACGGTTGCAGACATCGGTTTATTGAACATTACTTGACCCGGCGTCCTTTATAAGCATCCAAAGTTTGTCGGTCTAAATTTCGGAACACTCTATACATAACACATTAAGGGATCTCAAATAATTTTACTTTAAGAACCTGATTTTTTCCTTCCATTCTAATCGCGATATTCAAAGTTTCCTTTCCAAGGAAATTTGACGTTAACCGATTTGACATCCGCGTCATAATCTTTATCTAATTATCTAATTTATCTCAATTATCTAATCAGTATCTTAGGACGTAATACAAATTCTCGCAATTATTTCGTTAGTAGCAAAGATTGCGCAAGATCTCGACGCGTCGGACGCGCATTTTACACGCGTGCATTTTTACCGCTGTGCTCGACGAGAGTCGCGCACCTTCGATCCGTCTGGCATCCCAATTCACCGGGATATTTTTTCTGTGTCGCATTAAAGTAGCTTCTCGATGCGTGAAGCGGCGACCTGGCTATTAGAGAGTTTCGTTTCGTTTCGAGGGAGAGCGAGAGCTCTGGAAAGAGAACGCGCGCGCACGGAAATAAAGTACTTGCCTAAACTGGCTTCCGCATTGGCGCGCCGAATAAAACTGCGCCGGGGCCGTAACCGCCGCAATTCGCCGAATGACGATCACCGGTGTTTAATGGAAGTATTTCGCGAAGTTTGAAACTTGAACGATAATCGAGCCCGATTTCGATTCTGCGAGCCAAATCGAACGGTCAATTGGGTCGAAATGGAGATCGCCGTGCGCGCGCGAGCGAGCGAGCGCGCTGTACGGAATTTAGCGCGCAATTTTCGCTCCGTGATGTCTACCTCGCGCGCCGAGCGACATCGTTATGTTGCATTTTTTGCTTTTTTTTATATATAAAGCAAGATACGGGAACGCACTGCTCGTCTCACTCGCGAGTGGATAATTGCGGGCGATACTGTCTCTCTCTCTCTCTGGTTGCTTTCGCTTCTGCCCTGCCCGTAGCTCCTTTCGCACGCGTTTCCCGATTAGCCGGCTCGTCGGATCTCACCCTCTCTCATCTCGTTTAAATCGCGCGTAATCGGAACGGACGATTTATTCGCGTCGCGGGCCACTTCGCGAAATCTCGGATTATCTCGCCGCCAACGGCGCTCGTACGAGGGTCCTCGTTAGGCTCACGTCCTTCTCCTTTTTACTCTCTCTCTCTCTCTCTCTCTTGCTCGCCATTGCTTCCTCCTCGCATCTCCGGTGCGTTCCACTTCGCTCACTCGCTCTACCGCACCTTCTTCGCCTTCCTCCTTCAGTCCGCCTCGCTCTTCTCTCGCCCCGGATAAGGGATGAATAATGTACTCCCCGACCTCCGAGCAAACCTCCATGCAACCTGAATGACAAATCAGTTTGCCGTCCGAGCCAGGTCACGAATCGACGTCAGCCTTACCTCTACCCTCCAAGTTGTCTACTCCCTCCCCTCTCTCCATGTCTATCCCCCGCAGCCTTTGCTCTGGAAGGTCCTGAATTTTCACGGGACGTTTTTCGCTCTCGCGGGAATTCCGACGGCACGCCGACGGTCGTCAACGTTTTTAATGTCCCCGGGATATCGCCGCTTCGGCGACACGCTCTTCCGCCTCTCTTCCGGACTAACCGCAGCCGAAGCGAGAAAATGTTCTAACGCCGCGCAATCAGCGAGTCGACGTTATATCGAGCACGAGCGCGAGCACCGTCACCAATTGGCAATCAACGAAATTCGATGAAATTTCTGGCCCGGCATTTAACGATCTGGAGACACTCGCCGAAAGTCCCGACGCGATTCAGAATTGGAATTAAAATCTGCTTCGTTATAATCGTACAATTGTATGGACAATCGCCGCGATGAAATTTAGAAGGCGTAATAGAATCTGTACGTCTCTCGGTCAAACTTTCTTACACATCACGTAATCTTTCCAAACATCAATTTGAGATTTTTTTTTTTTCGAGGAAACGTCGGTTACCCTCTCCGCGCGATCGTTATAAATCTTTCATCGGCTACAGGTGTCAGAAACAACGAAAACCAAAAAAGGGGGCACATAAGTGCTTGACAATCCTCTGTGGCGAAAGGTCACTTGTCTCTGACAATGTTGTTATTGTGAGTAATAACGATAACCGCGACCTAAGAGCCACTACATCGAGAGCATGTTTCATTAATCGAGCGTGGATTCCTGTTTCAGAAGGTTGGCTGCGACCTTAGAGTTGGTAGTAACAAGAACACAGATGCGTGTGGCGTGTGCGGAGGGAATGGATCAAGCTGCCAATCGCGATACTTCTGGAGTTTGGAATCGATATCCGCCTGCTCCAAGTCCTGCGGTGGAGGTTGGTAATTACCGGGTTAATTTAGCCATATTCTCTCTCGGAGCGAAGCGGTTATCGGAACGATCGCAGGACGATGCGATATCGCGCGAGAGTACGGAATCGATCGTCTCGCGTCTCTTTGTCTCCCGACAACAATGTAAAAATATACGCGAAAACGCTCGGAATCGCGTAATTCTCGCGACGCTTCTCACGCGCAAAAGTAACTTTACTTGATCTCGTTCGTAGTAGCTGGCGTCAAAAAGAAAAAAAAAACGCATCGTGCGGCTGTATCCTTAAGGGGGCTGCGATGTGAAACGAATTTGATAAGATCTCAATTAAACTTGCACTGCGTATATACTGAGATATTATCTGGCTGCTCGTGCAGTTCGAAAAAGATTGATCGATTCGAGTGATACGTATAACTATAGTTGACGCTTTTTATACGTGCTTCTTAGAATAGAAACGTAATTTGGGTTGAGCGGTACTCTTGAGCACGCGTCACTGAGAATACGAGCCTCGCAACCCCTTTGAGAAACTGGAACGGCGGGTACTGGCGGGTGTAGAAAAAGAAAAGCGCGCGGTGTGATAGTGGACATCCGCGTGGGGGATGATATGTATACAGATATCGCGGGGTTGTTTTCACGAGAGCGCAACGTCTTACGTCGAATTCGCCGGGGCTAATTTAGCCGGTCTCGTTTTTGCGCTAATAGGTTTCAAGAGAGCGGTGGCGGTGTGCAGATCGGTCGGCGCCGACGAGAGTGTCGTGGAGGACAGCTATTGCGATGCAAACGGCAGACCGGAGAAGACCCTAATGCCGTGCAACACGCACCCCTGCACTACCAAGTGAGTACTTTCGGACAGACTGAACTACCTACCCGCGGCGGGGAAGACGGTAGAATCGCTGCGTGCACGTTCTACTACGTCAAAGAACGTCAAGCCGCCGCCACACTCGCGTGTACAATCATCGGGAAAGTATTGCGCGTGGTCTCTCGCGCGATTTCTGGCCGCGCCACGTTAAATATCTCGGCTCTCGTGCTTTTCGCCAATCAGTCAGCCAGTGGCGATATCGCGATTGTCGCTTGTAATTAACGCCGGATAAATCGTAATTTCGCGCACGTACGCGCGAGCGAGACATCACGGGGTCTCTCGAGGAGGAAGTTGACGGGGGGGGAGGGGGTGAGCGAAAAATTGGGAACTCCGCTCGCTCGGGTACAAACGATCCTTGTTCCTATAACAATATTTCTCTTCCGTTTCGCGGAAGGGTTGCGCGAGGTAGCGATTTAAAGCCGTGTTTCTCTGCCCCCCTCTCCTCTCTCTCTCTCTCTCTCTGTCTCTCTCTCTCTCCCGTGATGGGAATCGTCCAACAAACGACGAGAGATACTTCGCTGCCGACGAGTCTCGGACAAAAACTCCCGCGAACTATTCTTTCTGGATACGCGAGCTCGCTGAAAGCCACGGAAGAACGCACGCGCGCACGCGGAGAGTTTACTATCTGGTATACAGAATTTGTTCTTCGTACGCACGAATTTACGGTTCAATGTTCACCAAGCGATCAATGATGTTGCTCGCCCGATGCCCTTCGTCGTCGTGAGCCAATTAAGGTGAATTGCTCGCACGATCATCGTGAGGAAATGTCGCCGTTTACGCGGCATATGTCAGCTTTCCCTGCGTTTCCCACGTGTGGAAAGGACCGCAAGGAATCGTGAAAAATGTTCAGATGTAACAAATATTAACAATGAAAGTATGTGTTTCATGTGGAAACTTCGTGAGAGATTTATTGACGAGAAAAAGAAGAAAAATAGAAAGAAAGAGAGAGAGAGAGAGGGAGAGAAAGAGAGAGAGAGAGAGAGAGACCAAATCAAGGTAAAAATTGCACAGCAGCACCCACGAATTTTATCATACAAAATCGCGTTTCTCGCAGGCGACACGCTCTGGAGTTCTGTCGAACGTAACGTACGCGTCACGATGTATCTCCCACGTCACTTCGATAATCGATCGCTGAGTCCCACACGAAATTGTCACTTGGTGTACACGCGCGCCCGTGATATATCACCGTGGCACCGCGGTATCGAAACGTATCATCGGACGATTAAGACGGGGACGATAGTCGAGCGGGCGACGCAATTGACCGGCTTTTACGGCGTCGGCCGATGATAGTCGCCGATGTACGGAATACACGCGCGGTACTCACAGTATCGTGATTGCAAGTCGACCGATGAATTACCAGCGCCAATTGATCTCGTCACCGGCAAATCGTCGCTAATTGGAGCGGCCGCGAGTTTAGTTTGAATTTAGTTTGACCAGCCGGACAGAGAGAGCGACCCACGCGTCCGTCCGTCCGTTCTTCCTTTCCTAGAGAAGGTGAGAAAGACAAAGAGAGGGGTGAGAGGGAAGGGGGATGGAACTCTAACCGCCGCGAAAAACCGCAACCGCGCTTTCGGCCAGTGATTCGGAAGCTATGATTTAATCGTGTATTACGAGCGGCGTTATTCGTCGGCGACGTTTAAGCGACCGCGGTGTGCACACTCGAGCGTTATCAAGATTTAATAATTCGACCAAGCCGATGTCCAATTAAGAGAAAGAGAGGAAGACAGAGGGAGAGAGAAAGAGAGAGGAAGCGCGCGACGTATCAGAGATATCCCGCGGATATGTGAAAAATAACATTGTTGGAGAAATCGTTATTAACGGAGATTATCGGTTTTGCGAAACGTACTCGAAAGCCGGTCGTGTCGTGTATCGACGGACGAGTCTCGTTTATTTAACTCATCATCGTCGTAGCTTTCGCCCGCGGCGAACACGGCGTTTTCCGCGCGTTTTGCGTTGCGTAAAACACGGTGTAATTTATGTCTTTATTGAGAGAAGGAGAGACACGGCTCTGGGAGTAAAAAAATATCCGTGAACCTCGTGAGCAAAGGTCGGATTATGCAGCGAAGCTGCGCGAGAGAGTCGCCGGCGCGCGCGATCGATGAATGGATCCCACCATGGTGATCTGGCGATCCGGCGAGCGCGATTTTGTCTCTTTTCTCTTCCCCTCCTTCCTTGGAACGCGGCACAGAGAGCGAGGGAAATTGAGAAAGTTGATGGGGTTGATGTCGATTAAGTTGAAATCCCGCGAGAGTCCTACTCGGAGAGAGGAGGATACTTACACGAGATCCCTATCGCGCGACTTTTACCAAACACGGCGCGTGTTTAATATACACGGCTTTGTCGTGACGCCGTCTCGGAAATTGCGGGCCATCAAAGATCGCTTTGAGGATCACGCGGCAGGAAGAATCGCCGGGCAAGATCACTCGTAAGGGTGAGGATAATCGATAATCGATTTTGGACACGCGCGAGCGAAACACCAGACACGAGGGGACCCGGTCGTCGTCGAGCTTTCCGTTTCACTTTGTCATTTAGCGCAATCGCTCGTACACGAAACATTTTTACGGCGTCATGCATGAAAAATGTCGAGAGTGACTTTGACAGTTTTGTAAAAAAAAAAAAAAGCCTGTTAGAGCCCGATGGAAGCCACTCTGTCCGTGTTACTTGGTAAATGCCCTCGACTGTATCCGGCCCATTACGTCCGAAATGGAAACCATCAAAGAGGTGTCCGTGGGGAGTTTAATAAAGAAACGCTTCGCCGTTTAAGTCTGAAATACTCGCGTGATTATGAGTGAGATCGTATTCGAGAGCGCGGCCACGTTCCTCCGTCGTCAGCCCTTCCTCGATATTCCTCTCCGATCTTTCGCGTGCGAAGGAGAATCGTCGCGTGCAAGACGGAAACGCGACAATGCTTCTTCTTTCACTCCCCAAAAAACGCGAGAAACCCGTACTTAATTTAACGTCGAATTGTCAGACAAGAGAGGATCGATAAATCGGCTTTTGGCGCGGTAAATCACCATCACGTTGTATTCGAGCTGAGATACACGAATCACGAAGGAATATTTCGTTTCGCACGCGCGCGCTCGTGAAAAATGACGCGCTATACCCATAAGTGCGGAAAGAGAAACAAAAGTGAAAACAAAAAAAAATCGTATCAAGAGCCCATGCGCGCCGAATTTTAAATGCGCCGGACCAACACAAATGTGCGTTACGCGCGCGTTATTTAACTGATTTATTATACGAAAAAAGTCTGTGTGACTAAATAAACGCCAGACTCAATTTGACAAAATGATATCTCTGTTACTGTCAAAACACATAACCTACTGAAAGTGTCTCACAACGGATACATACAGGGTATCTGACTTTAATTATAGAGTTGTTGTGTATATATTAAGAAGGGAGTACTTTATGAGATATTTCATATTTTGTACTGAAAAATATCAGAATAAAAAATAGAATATTTTGAAAAAGTATTCACTTTTTCATCATTTTACTTTAGTATTTTTATACATAGAACGAAGAAAAAAATCGATTGGCATTAAAAAACTATATAATTCCATAAAAAAAAATGAAGTTGATTTTCATGTGACTTTGGCATCTCCACATAGAAAAAAATTAGACGACAAAAATACACTTCCTTCAAAATCACTTAAGTTTTGTATGAATAATTTTTCTGTAAAATCGATATTTATTACGTTATTTTAGATAGATGGCAATTTCAAGTGATCCGCCGTGTATATAGCGCGTACTCGACACTTATCGTCAAACATATAACATTATCATTCATAAGATACCATAAAATGTCCATTATTTTAACTATGTTATATCGAGAAATTACATTCGTCGCGTTGCAATTTGAGCCGAAATGCACGATTCGCGAGAGAGCGCTTCGTTTCACACGCGCGCTATATTCGTGAAAAATGACGCGTTACGTCCATAAGTGCAGAAAGCAAAAAACAAGAGCGAAAACAAGGAAACGTATCAATGGGCGAACGCGCGTCGAATTTTAAACGCATTTTCCGAGCGACGATATCGAGCCATAAAGCTCACATCGCGCGAGTGCGATATTGACGACGCGCTCATTTTTTTTACACCAGACCTTAAATAAGTCACGAGTTTGTCATGGACTTTTATTGCCGACAAGGGCGGGATGTTAATTAACTTTTACTGGCACGTGTACAGCGCTGCTTATGACTTTCGCGACATGCGAACGCAAGTAACCGCGTAACTTCGCGATTCCAGTAACGAACTCGGTGTTACCTCTCTCTCTTTCTCTCTCTCTCTCTCTCTCTCTCTCTCTATATATATATATATATATATATATATATATTTTTTTTTTTCTCTCTTTCCTTCTCTCCGTGATGTTGTTTGCCGTTTTCATCGCAACGATCTCTTTTTCCTTTCCAGATGGGCTACTGGAGAATGGAGCGTGTGCAGCGCGAGCTGTGGCGGCGGTACGCGAACGAGGTCCGTCTTCTGCACCGAGGAGAACGGGAACGAAACCACTAAGGTAAGTCAAAAGGAGAACACGCGAAACTCTTCGATAGTAAAAGTGTTGATTGGCCGAACGACGACCTCGGCTCGAGAAAACGTTTATCACATACACTGAGAAAAAGACTTTCTTCAAATTTAATAAATTTTACCGCCTTCAAACAAATTTCACCATTGGCACGCTCTAAAGAAACTAATGTTTCGATTGATAAGTGCGATTTTCGAATATATGTCTTTATCTTAAATAAAAAATTTGTTCGAAAGGTAATTTTCTTATGAAGAAATTATTTGTTTCTATGAAACAAATTTTAGCCAAATGAATAGATATACTAAATCTAAAGAAATCTTTTTTCTGTATACAAACACACAACACAAAACTGAAAACTTTAAATCTTTTCAAACATGGATCACCGTCACGTTGAAAAATATTTCCCGATAATTCACGTCGATAAGATTTGACTCGATGAAATCAGCGTATCGTAATTGGTAATTTGATTAACATCCTTGCGTAACTTCATTTCCTGACTCCCATCAAATATGCGCGCATTAAAAATGTATTGCTCGTTACTGCCGTATTTTCAGTGGTATATAAATAAGGGGGCCATTCATAAATTTAGCGTTCACCGAACAAAATTACGCTCCTATACATTTATTTCATTTAAATAATGAACGTTAATTTGAAACGAAGTTAAGGTAGATATGTATACACACGATATTATAGATACGGAAATATTATTTTATATTTTTTTTTTTTATTAATGCATTCTATTTATGCATTAATTGATCTGGTAGAGATGCACAGATATTAGAAAGTATAAATATTTAAGTACACGCATATGTGTATGTATTTCGAGTGTTATTATAAGTTATAAACTTTACACCATTGTATTTTTAAAACGAAATGATCAATAATTCTAAAATGCGTGCGTAACGTCTGCATATTAGTCTTTAATACTATTGTAGTTTTTGATTAAAATCTTACTTTTGCATATTAGTCTTTAATACTATTGTAGTTTTTGATTAAAATCTTACTTTTAGTTTAAAAGATATTAAAGGTAGAAGTTAAAAATAACGCGATAATTTCAAGAAACACGTATAAAAAACCTCAACTTTAATTACAAATATCTCAGTTTCCGAATGGTCGATTTTCTTTTATCTGTACGAGCATCGAGTTAGACAGTATTTCAATACTGTGTACGTAGTGCAAGTTTCATCGAATTCTTATCAAACTCGTTTCACCCTACAACCTCTTTTGTGAAATACCGAGGCAGGAATACTAAACACTAAACTGATTATCCATTAAACGTTTGGTGTCGAAACTTTTAAATGCAATGCAGATCAATTTGTAACTTCTTCGTAATTTTTTTCATTATTCCGACTTATGAGCAATGCATCCTTAGTTTCCACCGACTTACCATCAAGTATGCACGCATATTGAAGTATTGTTGTACTACTGCCATACATCCGCGCGAAACTTCCAAGGTTTACCCTTACGAAATGCCAAACCCACACCCTCGTAATTCAGTCATTTAAATTTTGACAGGAGAACAAAGGGTGAAGCGAAAGAGAAGAGAAGAGAGAGAGAGAGAGAGAGAGAGAGAGAGAGAGGTTTGTTCGGTCGTGTCAGAAATAGCGGTCGCGGTCCGAGAACCTCGAAGAATGTCCGCGGTAGTGTCCGAGCTTCCACCGGAGAAATGTCGGCGCAACGGAACTTTACGATGTAAAGACAAATAAATCTTACGGAATAAATCTGCCAGTGCGCGCGCGACGGAATCAGCGCGTTACACGCGTGCACGCGATAAAATACGCCACATTTTTCACATTTCGCCAGTGACGTTAGACACGCCATAATTCCGACGCGCTTCCGCGCGGACAGCACGTTAACCATCCCCCTCCCTCTCTTTCTCTCTCTCTCATCTCGGGAATTTTATACCGTACTTTCCCACTTGTCTGAGAGCGAGTCGCATTTACATACGTACCGTGTCTCGCTTCTCACGACGATCTTGTAAGATCCCGCGTTCCCCAACCCAGTTCGGTTCGTTTAAACTCAAAGAGCCGCTCGCGCGAGTATACGCCGCCGTTCACCGTAAAACCACCTTATCGTAAAACCACCTTACCGTAACGTGTAACGCACACACGTGTACATGGAGCTGCGTGACACATGCGCGCATCGCATGTATGTGTACAGTGTGTGTCCTATAGCCGCGTCCGCCTTAAACATTCCCGACGCGCGATTGAACTTTGAATTCCTGCTAAGAGCCGTTTGCGCGACTTTCCCTTTAATCCGTTTACACCGTCGCGCAAAGCTTCACGTTGGCAAAGACCCAATCGTCCAAAGCAAGGACGTTCCGAATCCGCCGATATCTCTCGGTGCAATTTCGCCGCGCGATTCCGCCGCCGAAAATTCCCAACGTTTAATAATCTCCGATATGAAAGGCACGCTCGCAGGACGCGGTCTCAAGACTAACACCCTATAACTCACGCGCCTGCACGCAAGTGTGCACACTTGCCGGGACTTACATTAAATCCTTATCGTTGCAGCTGCCGGACCACAAGTGCAGCGGCACGCACAAACCGCGCGTTCAAGAGAGCTGCAACACCGTGTCCTGCCCTATGTGGGAGGCCGATAAATGGAGCGAGGTGAGAGGGCATGCAATTCTGTGCGAGTGAGACCTGTCGTGCTGTGTGTGTGTGTGTGTAATGCGTGTGAATGTGAATATGCGGGTGTACGCGAAAGTGGCGGAGAGACGCGCGAATGCCGCTCGCTCGTATCATTTGGGAAACGCGCGAACGTTAAGCCTGACGACCACCGCAATCACAGGATTTAGGTACACGCGCGTCCGCTCGCGTTTAAATACACGAAACTCTCCCCCGACTGTGCGGCGCCTTCAGCTCAATCGCGCTATCTCCGCGTTCGGAGTTTCGTCGAGCGTTGCCGGCCGGCCGGAGCGGGGCGACGGGGTTAATGGTCGCGCGCGATTTGCTTTGTTCCCTTTACGTCCCCCGCGCGAATGTTGTGCTCTACGTGCGGCGAGGACCCGGTGAATAAGTCCGGCGTTTCCTGCGGTATTCTCTCTTCCGGCCGAAATCAGAATCGTCGGGATCGTCGTTTTTGCGCTTTTCCGAGCGGTCGGACGATTCGAAACGACGATCGGGACGATGGCTAGATTCGCGGGTATTAGTGCGCGAATTCGTCGGATTAAGATAAAAGTACCGATGCCCGACGCGTACAAACTGTGGACATTGCTGCCGTTGTCCTGGTAAATAATTCTCTAAATACGAATGTTTGATCTTTAAATATAAAATATTTGTATATCTTCAATGTATTCTGTACATGTATTCTGTGCTGAAAGTTTGAATATTTAAGGACCACAATGATAAGAATGTCCAGAGTTAGATACTTGTTCAAGCTTTTATCTTACGACGCCGAGTGAAAATATAAACACGAAGTGCTACAGGAAAAAAGATGTATAAAAGATATTATAGTTTATATAACCGGAAATATTTCGTTGTAATCAACATATATATACAATCCCGATGTTCCTTACATCAATTATAGGTCTTTCGAATTAGAACTATAGAAAAGAAGAAAGATTTAACTAGATTTAACGTCGATTGGACGCGTTATTATCAATGAATGTAACACTTATCTCGAGCTCGCGCGTTGTATTATCGATGTCACCCCTCCCTCGTGTGATTAGCCGACTCGATCGGAAGCTCTTAAAATAAACGCACACAGTGTAATATACGTGTATGACTAAAAGTTTGCATTAATTTGTCCGTAAATCCACGATTACGACGGTATTATTATACTCTCGGACACGGTCGGTCACACGGGCGCGCGCATGCATACACACGGGGCGGCGGAGCCTTTAATTACGCGATAATATCGCGAGCGCGTAAAACTACTTCCAACCCGTTTCCCCGTTCGAGGAGTTACGGTACGTCGTACGTAACGTTTGAAAGGCAAAGCAAATTAACGGCCGCGTGCGATTTGCACGACGGCATGCTTTTGCACGACGACAATGACGGCAACAACGACGTACTCGCCGTCGTCGACGCGTTTCGAGGGCCGCACGAAAACGTAACTTCCCTTTCCTCACAATCACGATCCTACAATCCGTTCGCGTTCCCGTCGTCTCCGTCGGCAAGGGAATCCGATTTTCTGCAAAAGCCGCGTTGTAATTGCACGTTGGACACAAAAGCTGGATGGAGTTACATCCAATAAAGATGACGCTCGAAAAGATCCCCGCCAATAGAAATGCGACAACAAGCGCGACAAATTCTCTCTCTCTCTCTCTCTCTCTCACTTTCTCTTTCAAAGCTGGTCTAATACTATATACATAAATATGTGTACAGGGTGTCTCGTAATAACCGCATGTGAAGTGCATCGGAAGATTCTTGGTACCAAACGAAGCCATATTTCTTTTGTCAAAAAATTCCATTCGAATGGTGGTTTTTAAATGAGAGCCATTTGATGGTGTCGAATCAACGTACCAGATTGCGCGATAGTCAAGAGCGGAACCACGAAATGTCACAGGAGTCAGCAGGCTGTCTTTCTTTTATCTCACTAAAAATTGTATTACGCAACTGCGTATGCCTGAATTTACCTCTATTTTGAATAGAACTTATTTATATATTTCCTTGCGAAAAGACATTAAATTTAACATTGAGATACTTGTTGCTCTTGATTCCACCGACAGTGAAAAAGAATTCGCATTAGATCGCTTAACGACCAGAGCGATATCTGTTTTTGTTTCTCAGGCGGAATAAATTTCACCTGACGCACACCGATGGATTCTATTTCTCCTCGCTTCATTAGCTGTCAAGAAAAAGCCCGGTCTGACTCGTACGGTTTTTATCCGGTGTATAACGGCTTCGGGGCGCTTCTGCAGACGGAACAAAGGAAGTCGACGAGTCAGACAAGGTTGAAACTGTTCTGCCCGCGATCCCGGCCGCGTGTGTGTGTGTATGTGTGTATGCGTTCGTTCGTGCGCCGCATCTCCATCCAGTTGAGCTCCACAGTTGCTCCGTTTCCCGCTTTTATTGCGCTCCTTCTCTCCGTCTTCGTTTTCACGAAGAAAGTTGCGAATTATGGCAACGTAATTCTTTTAATAACCCTCCGATGCAAATCCTGATGTTCAATTAGTACGAGAAAATTATGAATAACGCACCAATTGAACGGAATTGGGCGCGAGTGTTATTCGTGAATTACGAATCAAAACTCGCGTGTAATTCAGTTTGTGCATAATTGTGCGCAAACAACTCGTTTGCGTTTCGCATAGAACGCAGATAAATTTCTCATTCTTGATTAAGGCAGCTTGTTTGTTTCTGCGGCTTTATTCGTAAAATAGGAAGGAGGAAGCGAGAGAGAGAGAGAGAGAGAGAGAGAGAAAGACGCCTTCGTTAAAATATATTCTAATCCGCTACCGACGCGCCCGCAATTTTTCACTGAATAGCCACAACGCGCTGAGATAAATTGAAATGGAATTCTCGCGTACGCCGCGAGCAATTGTTGCTACTCCTTTGTATCTCCGTGATAGGCATTACACAAACCACATATTATACGAAATCACGCTAACGATTGTTACTTATACGTGGAGCATACACCGCCGTGCACCAATTCCAGATAGCACAGAGATGAATAGAAGTTCATAGAGAATTTTAAAGAATACCGACAGAATTAGAGAGAAACTGTGAAAATATGATTAAGCTGGGCTCATTCTACAAATTGCCACTTTATAATGTTTAAAAATTGACCGCTTATAATATAATTCTTCCTTTATTCTATATGATTCTTCGATTAGATCCTTGGCAATTTTAGATTCCTTTCTGCTTTTATGTAGCTGAAAACTGAATGCATTTGAATTATTTCAGTTAAAAGAGAACTGTTTCTCACCAAACATTATCTGGCATGGTAACGTTACATCAATGTTGTAAGTCTTCCACTTAACAATATAAGTGTTATATATAACACGTGTGTGCGTAATAATTATATTGTTGAGCAAATTTCGGATTAAGCACATCGTATATTTCTACCTATTCGCGCGTCACGATCGTGCCCGTTTTAGAACGTCCTTGCCGGTTCGCAAAATACTAATCAATAATCATGACGCACGGATATTCCGAAATAATACATCTAATTCGAAATTTCCGATACCACTCTGCGCCAATAGGGAACGGGACGGCATTAATGCACGGCACTGTACGGTATGTATATACGTGTAAATGAAAATCTACGTTTAAGCAACTTCGCGGCGGCGGATGTATAGCGGGCTTGTCCGAGATTTTCCGACTAGGCAAATATCGATGCCAAATATTTAAAGATACTGCCGCGCGCGCGCGTAACTCGATACCGCCGCCCGGGCCGCGCCCGTTCCGCGGTATAAACATACAAAATGGAAATGAAATATTCGCGTAAAATACACACACCGGTTAGCCGAGCGCCGCCGGGAAAAAAACTATTAATTCGACTCCCGGCGAGACTCCGGCGGTTCTGATATCCGTCTTTTCCTCGGGATGTTCTCACGAAGGGAACAACATCCCGTGACTCAATAACGCGATTCGCACTTTCGCTTTGTGACGCAAGAAAGCGAGAGAGGAAGGGACCAAGTGTGGAGAGAGAGAGAGAGAGAGAGAGAGGGAGGAACGTAGCTGGGCTTTTCCAAGCGCACCCGGTTGTGTATCGAATAGCGGGCGAACGCGCGGATAAAACTCTCATTCGCGCCCGACGTCGTCCGCGCTCGACGAGTAAATCGGATTTCCTCGAAGGCGAGGAATCGTGAATCGCCCGAGCGGAACACCGCGCGCGCGGTCGCCGTGGTTGCCGTGCCGCCGGCGAATCCTCCCTTCGCGCGGCTGCGCGAAGAAGAACGTGCGGGCTCGTTGTGGATAACAACCGTTCTCTCCTGAAGAATATTCTCGCGCCAAAATGGAGACTGACCTTCCTGTTGCCTCGCTTTCTCGCCTCACCCCGTCGTAAACCCGTGTACGAATCGCGTTTAAACCGCGCGAGCTAACGAGCGTGCGGGCGAACGAGCTCTTTATCTTCCTCCCTTCCCCCTCCCCTGTCTCTCTCTCTTTCACTCTCTCTATCTATCTAATAATTTTTTTTTAATCATTTTTTTCCTTCCTTCTATTTTCTTTTTCTTCTAAACCTACTTTTGCACGGAAAAAAATGAATTAGCCGTCCATATGATGTAATTGAAATTTAATTGCTTGATCTAGTTTTTAGCTGTGGAAGTTAAAAACTAGATACAGGGACAAATAATTAAGTAAATTAACTAAATTTAAAGCTAATTTTTACCTGTGGGAGTTAGTTTTTAATTGCGGGAGCTACTTCTTTTTTCCGTGTGTAATTGATTTATAATTACTTTCTTTGTTGTATATAAACTTACCGATGTACTTGTTGTCCTCATGTATACTTTAGGACATATTGCTCATAAATAATGAAATATTATGAACAAATTACAAAGTGATCTACATTTCATTTAAATACTGAATTTATGAGCGGTCTTCTTAATGTGCCACTGAAAATACGACACTAATACGCAATATATTCTTAAGTCTTTAAGGGACTTGTCATAGGATTATAATAAATGCTTCTCTCTCTTTCTCTCTCTCTCTCTCTCCCTCCCTCC